ATGTACGTGCAGTAGTTAACCAGGGTCCACAGGGAAGCTTCACGGAGGCCCTGACAAGAGCTTAGGAGAATTATCCTTGGAGGAGGGGGTGGCTAGACGGGAACACATCTTCAAAGAGACTGACAACTGAAAAGTTACAGCAGTAGTTACCAAAGATAAGAATTGAAGCTGAGTTATATATGTCCCCTTCAATTCCAAACCAATGGCCATTCATGTAAACATGCACGGATGCTGATAAATACATAAGTAAAGACCAATCACCAATAGTTAAAATAAAACAGTTGTTTCTCAGACGTCGCCCACTGGCAACACAGGTACTCTTCACTATTAATATATATCTCGGCAACCTGCACATTAATAGCAACTCAACCAAAGGATAAAAATAACTCGCATGGGAGCTAATGTACCTCTGCTGGAAGGAGTGCACGTTAAGGCTCTCTGGACAAGGGAGTGGCTATTCTATTTTTAAAGATCTTCAGGGAAAAGGATATCTTCTGATCTACCAGTGATCTATCCTTAGTAACCGTTTTCATCAGGCAAACGTTTATAGCAAAAGGATCAGTCACACTTTCAACTGACCTGTTTTGCACAGTCATTTGTTGCTTGGCACATCTTGTGGTCAAGAGAAGAGCCCTTACCTAGGATAAATGTCACCGAAGATCTGGCCCAGGAGCTGCACACGGGCCAAGTAGCCTAGGAGTGGGTACACAGTCATCATCTGGAACAGCAGGAAGATCCTTGCAATGAAGGACAGGATGTCACTGCTAGGGAAGTTGTCTAAAAAATTCTAACCCAGGAAAGATAATGAGACAATGTTAAAGATCACATTCCGTATCTGTGGTTTCACATAAGGGAAGGCCTTTGGCTTATTTTGAACACAGATGCTACTCAAATGGTGCTTTGTGGATGTGTGCTGGTTTGTAACTTGCTTGCTAACTATTCTGTCGTTAAGAACAGAAATGGGGAAAAAATTAAAACAAAACAAACAAACAAAAAACCAGAACAGAGATAGAAAGTGTTTAGAAAGGTTTACAGAAATTGGACTGTGATAATTTTGTGTTTGAGTTTACAGATGCGCCTGTCTGCAATGGATTGAACATAAAAGTCAATAAATAAAGCACGGCTTCCTTCGGCACAGAGAGTTGGAGGAGAACTGCTCTAACAGGCTCAAAGATAGTACACCAAGTTCATTTTAATATATTTAAAGGGATCATTTAATTCCATGCTACTTCACCCTCACCAGGACTCTAGTTTTTCCTTCCCTGAAGCCTGCTAGTCCTTCCAAAGTCAGTATCACAGAACACAGTGAGAGCGTATCTATCGAAAGTCAGTATCACAGAATACAGTGAGAGCGTATGTATCGAAAGTCACTATCACAGAATACAGTGAGAGCGTATCTATCAAAAGTCACTATCACAGAACACAGTGAGAGC